CCCTCTCTCACCCATGTGAGTGTGTGTGAGTGTGTGTGTGTGTGTGTGTGTTGGCCCTAGGTCAACATCAGGGTGCTCCTCATTTTTTTTTTAAAGATGGCGTGTCTTACCTAATCCAGAATTCAATGCCTGGCTAGCCTGGGTGGCCAGTGAGCTTTGGGAATCTTCTCCATCCTCTCAACAGAGGTTACAGAATGGAGTCATCACTCTGGGCTTTCATGTGGGCACTAGGGATCTGAATCCAGCTCCTCGAACCCTCACAGCATGAGCTTTACTGATGGAGTCATATTCTTCTAGCCCTTAATTACCCCTTATAGAACCTTCGCAGACACTGCTTAGGAAGTGTCCAGTGCATTTAACTCTTACTTTTTGTCTAACCTTCCCTTCAAAACCTGCACATAAACATTTGTCTTTCAGAGATATGTTGCAGTAAACTCAGCTTTGTAATGATAGCATAATGGTAGTTGGCCTGTCTATGTTTTGTTGTTGTTATTTTGATAGGCTCTCATGTAGCCCGGGATGGCTCAAAACTTCGTCTGTAGCTAAGGAGGACCTTGAATTTTTGATGCTCCTGCTTCCACCCCAAGTGCTAGAGATACAAATGCGAACCACTATGCCCAGGGTGACTTTGGGTGGTTGGATGGTTTGGTTTTGGTTTTGGTGGTGCTTGGTTTTTGGGTTTGCTCTCTACCTTTGAAATATATAGACAGTCCTATTTTTTTTTGTATTCACTTACCATTACATTGTAGTTATGCCTACACTTGAAAACAGAGAAGGAGCTCTACTGGTTACCCAGGTAAGTGAATGTCTAGGACATTTAGTCTTCTGTCAGACTCTTTTGGTAAAAATTAAGCTCCAAAACATGACATTGCAAGTCATTTCATGTCTCGTGTTCATTCTTTCCTTTTTTAAGTTATGAAAATTGCTTAAACACCAGGAATTTGGTTATGGATGAGTGGGGAAGTCTGGAATGTTTTTAATCTTGTATTCAGTGTTTTTGGTAACTGTGGAAGAGCAGCAGAGCCATGAACTTAGTCAGTGTTTTGACTCACGCAGCCTACCTTGACTTGAGTGCTTCTCACATGGTGAAAAAACACCACCACCAACAGAAAGCCTTCCATGTAGGGCTTCTGTTGACAGGAAACACAACCTGAGCCAGGAATGTGACCTGGCTGCCAAGTCAAGCAAATGTGATCTGAAATGGCACCAATATAAGACTTCTGGCCAGGATAAGGAAGGATATAGTCCCAGGGTTCACTCTGCTGGGGTTGGATCACACCTAGAGAATGGTGTTTGCTTTTGTGTCTTAAAACTGATTTGACAAATTGAAGTTTACCCAAGTTGGGTTACAGGATGATGAACTGCTAGAATCCTTTGGAGAACAGGTGGAGGATCTGGGATAATTTACATTGGAAACTAGAAGATGCAGGAGTATAGGATGGCCATTCTGAAACCCACGGGGCTATCATTTAGAAGAGCTGGACTCAATGAGAGGAAGACTTTCCCAGTCCTTACAAACATACAGAGACAAGCAACTCTGGCAGGTAGGGCTTACATTTAAGGGTCAGTACGTGTGTGCATTCAAAAAGGGAGTGGCTGGCCCATCATCAGATCCACAAACAGGAAGGAAAGTGTGGAGAAAGTTCCCTACTCGAGATCCTTTCAGATTCCAAGGTTCTAATGACAAACATTAAGAAAGAAGGTGTTACCGTTTCCCTCTTCCAGACCCCATGCAAGTATGAACCACAGAAACTATTCCAGCTCACAGAGCAGGATGGCTCAGTGGTGAAAGCCCTCGCTGCCAGCTTGGCAACTTGGTCCCAGATGATGGAAGGAGAGAAGCACTTCCAGCACGTTGTCCTGTGACCACCAAAGCTACAGTAGATGGGTGCCCCCACATAGATTAATAAACACAATAAAATCTTAAAATCAGACACCGCGGGAGAGCATCATACTCATAAGCATGGAGACAAAACAAACCCATCCCTACTTTCAAGCTTTCCCGGCGTTTATAGAACTTTTGTATAATGGTCTAAGAAGCAGTAGTATGAATGCATGTTTTTGTCACAAACCCCAGATGCCTGCTGTACCTAATTTCTCATTAGACCTTGGCTGTCTTAATATGTGGTTTTCAAAATGCATCATTTGGACAATATGTCCTTAACCAAATGTTATATAAGATAGCATTTCATCCAGGAGTGGCGATGCACGCCTTTAATCCCAGTACTGTGGAGGCAGAGGCAGAATCTCTGAGTTTGAGGCCATCCTGGTCTACAGAGCTAGTTCCGGGACAGCCAGAAAGCCGAGAGACCCTGTCTCAAACAAACAACCAAAGGTCGTATTTCAAAGAATGGTAGTCTGCGCCCAAAGGTCAAAGATCCAGCTGGTGGAACAGCTGGTCATTAGAGCTTATTAATCATTAATAACAAAGTAGCATACGGTGACGTGTATACACTGGGTAGGAAGGCAGGTTAGTCATCATCATTTTCACTTACCAGCCCAGAATCTAGTTCTTGTAGCTGCTTGCTGCCATGATAATGGATGGCGCTACTGCTGGATCACAGACTTTTTCTTTCTAGCCCACTCTTCTTCCTAATATTAAACGGTGCTGTTTCCTCCAAACAGTAGGTTTGGAACCTTACTTGAATGCAGATTGTTTTTCTTCTGAACTATTCTGGTTCTGTTTAACAGACAGGTTGTTTTGGTCAAAGACAGATTCTAATTTTTTTATTGTTTTTTTTTGACACAGGGTTTTTCTGTAGCTTTGGAGCCTATGCTGGAACAAGCTCTTGTAGACCAGGCTGATCTCTAACTCACAGAGATCCTCTGAATGTGTTCTTGTGACCAGTAAACGTACCTCAAAACAGAACATGGGGATTTGAGAAGACAAGCCCCATCTTGTGCTTGGCAGCTTCCCAGCTTCTAGCCCTGTGAAGTGATTGGTCAGGTTTAGAATTTCATATACACGGGATCAGGAGTAGGCATTCCTTCACACTCAGCCTTTCTCCTACAAGGATTTTTGTGTGAGACTCACCTACAAGGCTGTATGTAGCAGTGGTTCGTTGTGTTTGTTCTGTGGAGGCAGCATTTTAGAGTACTGATTGAGAAGAGAGACTTTCCTAGACTCCCTGGAGATCAGAAAACTGATCTCTGGGATCATTCAGTGAACCCATGCTTTCCAGAATTTTATAAAATTCTGAATACCGTAAGGATTCATTGAGATACTTGTTAACTCAATATGTTGCAGACTTCACATATTCCCAGCATCCTTGAAAAGTTAATAATAGTAAACAACAATATCGCTCAAAGCAGAAATTGTATAAACTTATTTCAGACCATAACACACTCTGAAGGGGATATGGCTTTTTTTTAAAATCTATCCACATCAATATTTCTGCTACTAAGGGTGATCCTTAACTTTACTTAGGTCAATCCACCTGTCTCAGCCTCCCGGGTGCTGAGATTAAAGGTGTGTGCCACCATGGCCTAGCGTGACAGCTTCTAATTTAAATGTTGTCCCTAGTTAATGTTCTGTGCTATACGAAGTTCCCAGGTTCACATAGGGGGAGGAGATGGCTCAGCAACTAAGAAAACTTGCTATTCTTGCAGAAGACTAAGGATTGGCTCTCAGTACCCACACAGGGACTTGCAACCCTCTTTAACTCTGGTTCCAGAGGATCTGGCACCCCCTTCTGGCCTCCGTGGGTATCAGACGCCACTTCAGTACACATACATATATAAAGGTAAAATACTCACACATTTAAAATAAAAATAATTGGGCTGGAGAGATGGCTCAGCAGTTAAGAGCACTGCGTGCTCTTCCAAAGGTCCTGAGTTCAAGTCCCAACAACCACATGGTGGCTTCCAACATCTCTAATGAGATCCGGTGCCCTCTTTTGGCCTGTAGGCACATATGCAGGCAGAACACTGTATATATAATAGACAAATAAATCTTTAATAATAAAAAATCTTTAAAAAGGTCTTCAGCATGTACTACTACTGATGTCTGAGAATACTTGACTATCTCTTTAACGGTCACGTATTTTTATGTGTTTTAATGTTTTTCCTGCATTCCTGCCTGTGTACCACATATGTTTCTGGTGTCCTCAGAAATGAGAAGAGAGCACCAGGTCCCCTGGAACTGGAATTACAGATAATTACGAACCACCACATGGGTGCTGGGAACCGAACGTGAGTCCTCTGTAAAAGCAGCAAGTGCTCCTAGCCACTCCCCATCCTTCTATAGTAAGATTCTTATCCATCAAAAAGACTCAGGTTTACATCTGTTCTGCTACCTACTAGCTATGACGCCATCACTTGGAGCCCCAATTTTGTTCTATGTAAAATGGAAACAATAGCGCTGTCTTTTGAGGCTGTCGAGAGGCTCGGGCATGGGAATGAGTGCCAAAGCACAAATAGTAGGCCTTCTATGCACTAGCCCGAGGATTACTGTGTTTAAAACTACTTTCAATGAATAAATCCTACCTAGTAGGTACTGAATGGATCCTATTCAGTGGTTTCCTGCTGTGCCAATAGTCAATGGCAATTGAACAGGGCAGGTGCCTCTTGAGTGCCCAGCCTAGTGCTGACCGACCTCTAACAAAGTAGTTTGAGACCAGGTCCCTTCTGCAGTGCTCAGAGAGCATGATCCAAAGGTGGCTTGCCCAACTTGGCATTCCAGGAAAGTCTGGAGATATACGAAAGTTGAGTGAGTCATTCCAATAAGGAGGGCGTTGCCTTGGTGGAGCGCACACAGCCGAGTGAAAAGTACGTCTTCTTATCAGCGGACTGCAGGGTGAACGCACACTTGCATTAGAGTTGTTCCTATTCTTTTGGGACTGACTAGTCATGTAGCCTCTCAGAACATAAGTTTCCTTATCGGTGAAGAGAAATAAATTAGCCAAATGTGGGGGCCCATGCTACTAAACCTACCATCTTAGGAGGCGGAGACAAGAATGTCAGCTGGAACTATATAATATATATTAGAGAGACAGAGAAAGAGAGAGAGAGAGAGAGAGAGAGAGAGAGAGAGAGAGAGAGAGAGAGAGAGAGAGAGAGATAGACCCAACATTAACAAACAAGATAGAGATATACTGTCCACGTACCATTTACTCGCGATGATGTGTTCAATAAACTTAATGCCTGTATTCTAACTTGGCTCATCAACTGGCACAGAGTTAAGAGTTTAGCAAATACTAGTTACTGTTACCATTATGTTTTAATAATATTTTGATAATGAACGGTGTCATTCCAAGAATAATGAATCGCTTCCTTTCTTGAAGTGGAGATGCCATTCCTGAGCCACTGTTTGTTTAAAGCGCTGGGACACCAACAGGCCATACAGCCTCCCCGTCGTGGTGGAGCCGGGGTGCAGGGAACTGCCCTGAGCTTCGCTCCCAGGGTCACGTGGCGCGCGGCCTCGCCCCTCTCCGGCGGCTCCGGAGCGTCCGCGGCGGCACTCGGTGCGCGTGCGCGGAGGCCTGCGCGCTCTGCGGCGCGGTCCTTGGTGGAGCCGGCGGGTGCGGATAGGGGGTGGCGAATGGCTCTGCGGGGCCCGGCGGCCTTCGGACCCGGTTCCCGCGGGTCGTTGGACGAGGCCGGGGCCGAGGGGCGCGAGGCGGCGGCCCTTTCGGCGGCGGGAGTCACGCCGGAGGACGAGGAGGAGGACGATGGGCGCCGGGGCCTGCTGCGCTGGGATGGCTTCTCGGCCTGGCTACACTGCGTGTGTGTGGTGGGCTTCGACCTGGAGCTGGGCCAGGCGGTGGAGGTGAGGCCGGGCCGCACCCTGTCTCCACCCTTAGCCCGTCCGGGTCCTGGCGGCCGCGCATCCGGGCGTGGCTTGCAGCCCCTGCAGGGCTCAATGGGGCGGCGCTCCTCTGGCCCTTCCGTGGGAGGATCGTGGGCTGCGGCTAGGGGTGAAAAGTTCTTTATAGGCCCCTCCTAAATACTTGTTGATGTTCCTTATTTTAAGAACACGTTAATAACTGAAGGATTTGAGGCACCCAGAAAAGGCTGCAACAGACAGGATGTTTGCTTGGGACTTTCAAGAAAGAACAATACCCCCGACATATGGTGAATTATAGTGGCCAAACGTGCACGTCCAAGCGTGCGGGCGGACAGATTGTATTGTCAGTTGCTCCAACTCATCTGAATCCAAGCCAAAATGCTTATCTCAGCATGCATTTTCTCCGTTTCCTCTCTTTGTTCCCATTTTCTGGTTTGGTGTGTCGTCGGGCCCTATTCCCTCCAGTGTCTCTTCTTCTCTTACAGATGAAATCCAGGGACTTCCGAGCACTAGGCAAGCTCTTCACCCTGTATCCCCATCCCCTGTCATTTAATCTTAATCCTGATTCTGTAACAGTTGACCCAAACCTGATGTCATATGGAAAATCATTGGCTTGTAAGTTTGTCAGTTTCCCCTTTTTAAAACATCTTGCCTAAGGCCTTCGAATCTAACTCACTTTTGGTTTTGTTTAGCATCCTTCTTTGTAGCTTAAGAGATTTGTCTTATTTTTCCAAGAGAAGTGTTATTAGAAAGACGTATGTTCTAAAGTTTTTGGCATTTTTGTTGTTAGTCTATTGGTGTCAGTGAACAATTCTAATGTAATATTGGTGGCCTGAACTGGCCGGGGAGGTTCCAAGTGAGGAACTGCTGCATTTGTATTCTACCATCTTTCTGTCTTCTCTGCCGTTACACAGTTCATTAAATACTGAGTTTTCACTACGATCTAGACATTGTAGGATAGTAGCTATACAAATAAAAGGATGTTATAGACCGGTATTTGTAGATTTAGACAATTTGTAGATCCAAGAATTAATCTCGGTAGTACACAGGATCAAATTTATTGCTTGACATAAATATTCAGTAAATATTTGTAGATAATAGATCGAGTTAGTACGTAGAGAAATTAGTTATTTTATTTGAGGTAGGAATAGCAATCGCTAAAGACTGAAGACATTGAAGATTTTTTTTATGTGTGTATTTTGCCTCCATGACTATATGTACAGAGCATTTGTGTCTTATGTCCGTAGAGGCTGGAGAAAGGGGTCAGAGTCTCGGGATGTGTAGTTCCACAGTTCTGCCTACATGGGTGCTGGGAACTGACCTCAGATCTTCTAGAAGAGCTGAGCCATCTCTCCAGCCCCTGAAGACAATGTTTTATGCTAATTATTTGATGATAAACTAAAATTCTATGTGTAGCAAAATGAAACTCAACTAGAGAGCAGAGGCTGTTGTATTGGTTGCATTAAAAATTATTTACATGCGGGTTTTTTGCTTACATGTGTGTCTCTGCACCACACTCATGCCTGTTGCACCCGGAGGTCAGAAGAGGGCATCCAGCCCTCTGATGGGGAGTTACAGATGGTTGTGAACCTGGTCCTCTGGAAGAACAGCCTAAGTGTTCTTACCCACTGAGCCTTCTCTTTAGCCCCTTTGATTGGTTTGTAATCTCATCATTTGGAACATTGCTTTTAACATGAGTATTTTTTAAATAATTGGAATATTTTCAATTTTAGTATAATTTTAAACAAGTTGAATATTAACAGATATAAATATTTAATAATATTAGTTGGGATGCTGAAAACTATGTATCACTAAAAGGTGCATACATTTTACCTCCCATCGCTACCACTGCACAGCGGTTTTCTTTATAATGTAGTTCGTAGCTTTTTTCTTCCTCAATATTTAAAGAAAAGTATTAACAGTATGAATTCCCTCAGAAAATGAGTAAGACAGGATTCTTCGATCTTCTGTTTTACTTTGTGTCCAGATTCAGGATCTTCCTCTAGGAAGTAAGGATGAGTGTTGGGGAAATTCCTTCATAAAGGACCTAAAGAAAGATAAGCATGATAAGATGCAAAATGACTTTTGTTTTGTTTGGAAACTGGAGCCCACTCTAACCCTGGAGTACATGTAACCCAGACTAGCCTTGAACTCACAGCAGCCTTCCTGTCTCCATGTTTGTGACAAAGCAATTTTGGTTTGCTTGTGTAAAAAGATATATTACATTTATTTATTTGTGTGTGTGTGTGTGTGTGTGTGTGTGTGTGTGTATGTGTGTGTACGATAGAGCACAAGCAGGAACGAGTTGATTCTTTCCTTTCACCACATGGGTCCTGGGGATCAAACTCAGGTTTTCAGGCTTGGAAGCAGCAAATTTCTTTTCCCTAAACAACTGAACCATCTCACTTGTTCTTGGCTTTTGTTCTTAGGGTCTCTTTATGTAGACCATATTGGCTTCAAACTCAGAGATCTATATACTCTGCCTCCTAAGTATACCACCATGCCCAGCCTTTTGTTTTATTTTTGGTTGTGAGCCTAGCTTTTAGCAGCTGAGCCGTCTCTTCAGCCCTTTATTTTTTTGTTATTATTATTATTTTTTATTTTCATGTGTACAGGTGTTTTGCCATGGGTGTTGGGTCCCCTGGAACTGTAATTACAGACAGTTGTGAGCCACCATGTGAGTTCTGGGAGTTGAACCCAGGTCCCCGGAAGGAGCAGTCAGTGCTTTTAACCATTTCTCCAACTCCTCTTTATTTGCTAACTGAAAGAGACATAGAGAGTCTTTCCCTTTCCTCTTTTTGAAATGAATACAAGGCACTAACAAATATAAGAAATTGTTGAAGATATATTTTGCTTTTTTTTTTGAATCTGTACTTGTATTGGAAATGGCCAGCAGGAGTAGTTAGGTTGGGATTAGAAAGGTAGACTTGTAGCCAGCGGATCTCTGAATTCAAGGCCAGTCCAGTCTACAGAGATTCAGAGAGCTCCAATACAGCCAGGGCAACACAGAGAAACCCTATCTCAAAAAACTAACCAGCCAAACAAATAAACAAAAAAAGACTTAGATTGGAAGTGACTTATAAGGTGGATTCTAGCCCCGTGTTTGCAAACTACAGCTAGAGAATTTCAAAAGGAGGATTAAAGAAGATCAAACAAATTAGGATAGTAGAATCCTGAAGTCCGTCAGTGTTATTGGTCCCAGAATCAGGATTGAAAGGCCACTGGCTCTTCTACTATGCCAGAAAGGCTATATTTGTTTCTTAAAAATGCAGAATCAATACTTAGTCATGTGACAAAAGATGAAATCAGATACACACGTAACTCCAGTCAGAATGAGATCCAAATGAATAATCTATCTTTGCAGATCAGTTGAAGCCATATAGGGACATCAGCCTTCTTAAATTAAAATAAAGTGAAGAAACAGAGCCACATTAAGTCATTTCTAAGAGTCAGCATGGAACAACAGTCCGGGCCCTAGTCTCTGCAGGATGTGGTACTGCAGAGGTGTAAGCCTTCAGAGCAGAGGCAGAAGGGTCAAGTCACACTGGGAAAACATGCAGCAGCAACAAAATATAGCACTCGTGAGTTTGAGCTATACATTGCTCTACTGGTGGGATAACAGTAGTACACACACCATTGCTTTGTGAAGTCAACTAGTGTTGGAAAATCATTCAGAACAGTACTGAGATTTAATGATGTGTTTGGGTGACATTGATTTTGTAGAAATCTTTTTTTTTTTTAAGTAAGGAAGCTGAAATGTAACCAATTTATCTCAAATCATAATATTTAGTAAGCCAGGATTTTGATTCCTTCTGACTCTAAAAGCTTGATTTTCTATTAATATGCAAGTTATCCTGCATGAAAAATGAAGCTACTCATAGAAAACAGAAGCAGTGCAAACCTGTGCATGCCAGGGATAACTTCCAGTGAGACACCTAAGTTACTGGCAATGACGGTTTGCCTTCTCCAGAGACTCTCCCTTTATACAGTAATACCAAATAAAACATGCTGGGCACTTCTAACCTGGAAGTCTGAAATGTAAACGCTTCAAAACTTAAAACCTAAAAAATTAAGTAGAATGAATTTTCTTTAGAGCTTTAGATTTCTCACTTGATCAATTCTTAAGGTCCCATTAAGTACTATAGTCTCAATTTTGAGGCCAGTATTATTTAAGTTTTGTTGGTACCTATTATAATAGGAACATTGAGGCTGTTTGGAGAGGCAATCATAGTTGGCTTGTTTATTTCTTACCATGGCAGAAAGCTCTGCATTAGTGTGTTTTCTGTAATGATAGTAAATAGTGGACACTGGGTGATATATAAAGGGAAAAAAAAAAGAACCCGTTATTTAGCACTCAGCCCTAGACATCCAGGAGTGTGGCTGTAACATTGGCTAGCAACGTCTTATGTCTCCATTACATTGGGGGGGGGGGGTGGTGTTATGGTGAGAACATGAGAAGGATAGTGAGAAAGAAAGCAGGAGATCATGGGGGTTCCTGGAAGTTTTAACAACCCTCTCATAAGAACTAATTTCCCTAACACCATCGTTATTTTTGTTCTGGCCACTGCTCAGCATCACACTGGGAACCAAGCTTCCTGCATGGGAACTTTATATGATACGTACAAATCATGCGCAGACAGCAGATTCTGTCAAGTACACACACACACACACACACACACACACACACACACACACACACACACACACAGCTACCTATTGGGTTTGAAGTAATTTTGGGCTCCATAAGACACACATAGGAAAAAAAAAAGGCAAATATCTGAGCTCTTGCTATGTTACTGAAGTTAGTGTCTCAAACCTGAGCTGTGGTGATCATCTTGTTTCTGTCCCCTGAGTACCCTCTTGTGCCCTCTGTGAGGTGTCTGTTGGGTGGGGTGGGGGTAATTATCATTAATTCTTTATTATTATGTAATGAAAGATTGAATACGAGCATGCAGCAAGTTTTCTAGAAACTAAGTGAAAATTTTCCAATGGAAAATGAGAATTATTTTGAATATTAGAACTTAAGTTAAAAATTTTTACCTCACATCATAAATTTTGTGTATATTCATTTAAGAAAAACTGTAGAAAAGAGGAAAGGAGAAATCATTTGTTTCATGTCCTGGGTAGAAGTTGGTAGCCAGAATTAAAATAGTTAAGCAATTCTTAAGCATGGCCAAAGGACGTCACAGGCAAATCCAAAGTGTATTTCAGATCAGTGAATGGGTTCTATAGTGTAATGTTATGATCGTCAGTTAAGTAGAAGGGTGTGAGACAGTGTAATTCAGGTTAAAGATAATGTGAATAGCTAGCTGGGAATGGTGGTGTACACCTTTAGTCCCGACCACTCACAGATTCAGGTAGATCTCAGTGAGTTCAAGGCCAGCCCAGTCTACATAGCATAGTGCGTGTCCAGCCAGCCGGAACTACACAATGAGACTCTATCTCCAAACAAACAAAAATACATGAATATTTTTCTTTGGAAGGGAAATGTTTAATGATGGTTATACTGGAAGAGGGAGAATCTTGAGGTCACTGGGAGAAGGGCTATAATTTCCACTTGATGATTTTAAAGTGAATTATTAGCTGTGCCCAGGCACAGACTGTTAGAGTGTTTCTTGTTTTAGCTCAGACATTTGCATCACAGCTCAGTGATTTTAGTGTTTCCCTGAGTTGCACAACTAACACCACTAATCCAGTTGTAGAACATTTTCATCACTTCGAAAAGAAAACCAACACTTTTTTCCCAGCCTTTGGCAACCACTGATCTAGGTTTGACTGTGAATTTGCTTCTTGCGTACATTTCACAGAAATGAAATCACACTTGTGGCTTTTTTTGTCTGTTTTTACTTAGCATGTTAGGTTTCATCTGTCAGGTATGTTAAGTCTTTTGGTCTTGCAATACAGTGCTGTCATCTACAAAGGTCTTACTTGAGAATTGACAACTTTGGGACTGCACAAAAAAGTACCTCAAAAGGTTTTAAGTAGTTTATCATTTGGTGGTTTTCATGTGAGCATATCTTTCCCTGCTCTTGGTTATGTTCATAGAAGCAAAGTTGCTTGGCTTTATATGGTATATGGGTATATGTCTTAGTTGGGGTTCCTGTTGCTGTGAGGAGAAACGATGACCCCAGCAACTCTTAGAAAGGAGAAACATTTAATTGGGTGGCTTACAGTTCAGAAGTTTGGTCCATTATCATCATAGTGAGACATGGCAGTGTGCAGGCAGACACGGTGCTGGAGAAGCAGCTGAGTGTCTGATATTTTGACTTGCAGGTCTTTCTTACTGGGAATGACATGAGTGCATATGAGACCTCAAAGCCTGCCTCCACAGTGACACACTTTCTCCAACAAGGCCACACCCCCTAATAGTGCCATTCCCTTTGGGTACCATTTTCTTTCGAACCACATGGTATATGTGGTTTAGAATATAAAACCAAAAACGTACCAAAATTTCTCTACCAGTAATATAAAGGGTTTTGGTTTTTCCCATCCTTGTCACTTACCTGTCCCTTTGAACATCCATGGATAACGGTAATCCTGTCACTTTTATCTGTCCTTTTGAACATCCATGGATAACAGTGAACCTAGAATGTTCCACATGATAGCATGATAGGCAAGACTTAGTTATAGCTCCAACTTGTTTTTTACATATGTGTGCATGTGATGCTTTCTTCTGAGACCACAGTCTTCAGGTGGGAAGGTACGTGTATAGTCATAGCAGATACAGCTCCTTTTGTAGAAATAGTTCATTTAAGACCACTTCTTGGCAGGAGTGTAATATATATTACACACATGCACATGCACATATTCTGTGTAAAAGATAGTAGTAAATAAGATCAGGTAATTCATATATATATATATATATATACATGAATTTGAAAGGGAATAAAGGGGGTGTGAAAAGGGTTGGAGCCAGGAAATGGAAGGGAAGAAAATGATATAATTATATTTTAATTAAAAATTTAAGAAATATTATTAATAAAACCTTGGGAAATGTCTCCCCAGGGTCAGCACACAGAAGCTACTACAGCTGCTGTTCAAAGGGCATCTAGGCTGCATCCTTTGCGCCCACCAGAACTTGGGAGGTGTAAGAGTGAGTATTGGGGAAATGTGTATCACAGTTCTAGAGAGACACCAAGGCCAGGATATTGGTGACCAAGCCAGAATCCATGCAAAAAGGCAGTCAAAAGTCCTTTGTACAAATACATGAATGGGAAACCTAAGTTGTTAAGGCACCCAGGATCTTGGAGACGTCAGGACCAATGTCCATTCGCCGAAGAAAGCTGCAGGCACAGAGTCGATCTGACTTAAAGGAGAGGTTGCGTTTGGAAGAGTTAGAAGGGTAGGGTTGGCCGATGCTGCTGGAAATCTTGTGGTTCCTTCACGAGCTCCAAACACTGAACATGCAGCTCTAGGATCTAGTGCTCTATCGTGTTTCACTGTGCTCTTTCTCAGCTATGTAACCATTCTCCTCTTTGGAATGGGTGTTTTATTGTGTACCTCTCTGCTGGAAGTATGCGACTTGTTTTTGGCTCCTACAGGGCTCACAGCTGAGGAACTGCCTGAGTCTCAGAACAGACTATGCACTCTACTTTT